AACGAAATTGGCCCTCAGATATTCCATACGAAATCGAGTCCCGAATACGACGGAAAGAACAATTTCCAAAAACCTATAATCATGTTTGAGAAATAAAAATTTTTTCAAGTAATGGCGCGTCAAAAGTTAGGAAACTTGCGAATTCCAAAGCGAATTTGGAGCGAAAATAGCTCTCAAATCCACATGATAAATTAGTTATTTGATGAGTAGCTTTAAATTCCTATCTTAGCGTTCGTTTTTATTGACATGGTATTGATTATAAAATAATTTTAGGATTTTTAAGTCGGACCTCATACACTGTGAACTAAAGCACATTGTTTGGTGGGATTCTTAACTGGAACGTGGGTAGAGCGACATGCCACTTTTTCCGTGAGATGTAGAACTCAATTAGACTTCAGATCTTGACTTGGTCGCTTCATAGCAGCTCCTTTTTCTGGGTTGAGGAAGGCGGCAGTGGGGAGGTAGGCCTGCATCGGGTTATTTCCGTAATAGAAAACCCATCTTTTCCGGCTAGTTCTGACTATCTAAGGTAAGCATTGTATTCTACAGACTATACTTGTACTTAGCCCAACCCACATTTCGCTGGATACCTAGAACTGTGGAATCGCCGAATGGTCGGACACATGTTCATCCATGACAGTACTTCCACTATTTCTGACTGTTGGAATCTCATACTCAAAATGAGGTTCCCATTTGACAAAACACTTCACAGGGTCCACTATATTATTTCTAGGAAGATAGAAATCTCATTCGTCGCTGAGGACAAAGTTTCACCTCTTGGCTCCGGTTCATGTTAGCCGTTAGAGTGCGGAAGCCAGTTGGGCCATCCTGCCCTTGAAGCCCAACAACGGCTTCTTGTTGGGACATCATCCGTAATATTCACCAGGTCGCGGCCGATGTTGGCGTGCACTTGGACTTTCATATGATTTAGGAAAAAACCAGAAAAAGTTGTCTCTTAGTTGGGAATGTTGGGGGCACGGGACGTGCCACCACCTTTGAAGTATTTGAAGAGGACCAACTTTCTTGTGAAGATACTTTTTTGGTGATTGATATGCTTACACGATCAATTGCGACTGAAACATCCGATAATATTGCTTCCGTAGAGACTGAACTACTAAGAATCAGTTTCAATTTCGTATTCCGGATTGTAGGGTTTAAAAAGGACCTCCCATGGAAAAACTGCTTTCTTTGCATATGAATTCATTTTGAAATTACACATTGCTCAATGGTTTAACTAAAATTAACAGAAACAAGTAAACATTGAAGAGTAGGAATCATAATGATAAGGGAAACAAAAAGTTTCCAAACTTTTGACGCGCCATTACTTGAAAAATCTCTATTTCTCAAATATGATTATAGGTTTTTGGAAATTGTTCTTCCCGTCGTATTCTGAACTCGATTTTGTATGGAATATCTAAATTTGGGACAATTTCGTTGTGTATCGGCCGCGCTAGATCAAAAATAAAAAAGTTTCCAAACTTTTGACCGCTACTGTATATGAGCGTATTGCAACATAGCTAGCGTAGCAAAAGATGATTGAAGATTGGAAAAGAAGCTGTTGGAGAATTACTGTCATCGATTCAGATAA